ACTTTTTAGTGTTAGTAATTAAAAAAAATCTTAATCCAAAGTTAAAGGTGTAATTAGAAATTAATTCTTTTTTCAAGTACATTGCATGCAAACTTCTAGCGCGCATGCAAATGAAGCATTATTTCATTACATTATTAACTTACTAACTTACTTACATTTCTTGCAAAAATAAAAACAAACAAACAAACAAACAAACAAACAAACAAACAAACAAACAAACAAAAAAACTTAACATTGGATGAAGTCACTTTCAAAATTATTATTTCATTTTATTTAGTTTGAACTTTCTTTCATATTAGAGTCAAATGTTTTTAGATGGAGGTTTTGAATTCTCTTTTTGCTGTTGCATGAATGAGAAAATAACGTGAACAAACTGAAGAAGCCTTTTCATCCATTTTGTTGAATAAAAATGAATTCTTATCTGCTCCATCTGAGGTTCCTCAACCTGTTAAATTTCTAAAGCCTACAGTATAAATCACTGATGTACAAAACATAACTGAATTTCCTCTAGGATTTCCTGTTCATTTGCTGCTAATAAAAACTGAAAATAAGGGTTATTATGTTTGACGTCACAAAAAAATAAATAAATGGAGGAAATAACATGCAATGTTATGTAACAGTCAGGGGAATGGACATTTATAGAAGACATAATGGAGGTTATATTGGCACAATGACGTGAATTTGAAGATAATGTAGAGTACTATTTGAGACTTGTATCTACAGTAGAAAAAAAATATGTAAATCATTGCTTAAGATAATGTTAAAGGGCCATGAAACCCCCTCGTTTCAGCAGGGTGTTTTCACACCTCTACTTTGGAAAAAGTCAGAAAAGTGGGCGTGTCCAGCTCTGTTTAGGGGGGAGTGTCGGAGGAACTAAAGTGGGATGGTGTGGGAGTGTCTATTTGTGCACGCGCGAGTTTCAGAGTCAAAATACACACCCACACAGACAGGAGTAAGTGATGGTGTTTAACCTACATGGACATCTGTAGTCGAATTATTTGCCAAATTATTAAATGTTGGACTTTAACTGCAGTTTGGCTCTTTCATTCAGGGAATTCATTCATGCCCCTCGCGACACACGAGATATTTGATTCGAGGAACTGATCTAAGCGTGTATTTTTCATGCAATGTTTGATACCGCACGGCGAATGAGAGAAAAAAAACCTCCGCATTTCCCGGAAACTTAGATGCAAACGGCAGGTAGTGTCAGAAAGCCGCGTGTGTTATTCCGGTCTCAAAATGCGGTGCTAACATTTCTGCACTCAGTGCAATAGTTAACTTAATTCGATACGAACAAACTGAATAAACAAAGAGCACTGGTCGCTCACTTACCAAATCTGTAGAGACAGGACAATCACCAGCAACTAGAGCCGCGTCTATATGGAGAGAATACTACAAACAAATCCAGATTTCAGCGTTTGCAGATGAGAACAGCTCTCAGGTAAACAATAATCCTCCTTAGACACGTAAGTTATTGTTGTCGAGCGTCGCGTACACTGTAATCCACACGTGATCCAGATAAGCTCTCACAGAGAGAAAATGAAAACGAAACTTAACGGCAGCAAACTATAAAAGCAACACTTCACGCTTGTTTTGCCAACACAACGTGGCGTCTCTGTGGTGTAAGCGCGGTGACACAAATGAATATTAATGAAGTTGCACAGTTGAGCGCGCTGATTGGTTTGAACCAAGCCTTACTCATGCATTAATGTATCACACTGTAAGACGTAATAAGACTCACTCTGGCACAGACGCCCAGTCTGCACGCTGGAATACACGCTATTATGTCATGACCGTGACGCAGCTTCAAAAATTCGTTTCAAACAGGAAGTACGAATTTGCTTGAAATAACGCAAAAACAACCAATTTACACTTTTTAGTGAAATATAGGTGTCCTAATAGTGTTTTTAGCAGTGTGGGACACATATACGACTGTCAAGAGCTCAAAAAATGTGTTTTGGTGTTTCGTGACCCTTTAAAAACTTGTGATTAAAAATATGTTTTGAAACACTTTAGACTCAGGTATGTCATGATTTACAGTATTAACAAACCATTAACTAACACTACTAGCTTAATAAGTTACTAATTAGCTGTTTCTTAAAATATTTCGTAGGTAGAAATTGGGTTTAGTTTTAGGGTAGGATTAGGGATGCAGAATAAGATCATACTTTATAACCACCCATGAACATTTAACATCTTAATAATAGGCAGGTAATAAGCCAGTAGTTAATAGAATGAATTGTGACCTAAACTAAAGTGCTACCACATATTCTACTAAAACTTAAAAATCATGCCACAAAGTTGACAGCTTTAATATTGATGTGTGGTGAACATAATGAATGATGTTTTTGCTTGCAGTAATGGGCTCTTTGGGACCTTTCTGAGCGGAGATGTTAATATGAGATGATTTTCCGTGTGAAAACATTGACGTTCATATGACCAAATAACTGTTAATGAACTCTAGTGACACTGAGAGCTGTAGTAAATACTCTTGGCTGAACTGACATCTCTGAATGTGTAGAAATGGCAGCGGGTACTTAATTGTGTACGAAAAGCTTTTAGATTCGCCGTCAACAGCTAATGTGCAGAACAAGCCAATTGAAGCTTCATTTTCTTGATGTAGCACTACTGATGAGTGCTTGAAGTAATATTGAAGCTTTTAAAATTTTCATGACTAGTTTGTACCATGTTTATGTGAAAATGTTGGGGTTTTGTTTTTGTAATAAACAGCCTTTGTCCATGATTTATGAACATGAAGTCAGTGCATGCTGTGAAAAAATAGTGCCTTTCTAGGCTCATTTATACTAATTACCAAAGTACTTAGCTCCTGTGACTGATAAAACTGTATGATTTAACAAATTTTAGACAGCGTGCTTTAAACAAAATGAAAGATGTTTTAAAGAAAGCCTCTAAAACTAAAACAAAATGTATTTTTTCTTGATTCAGACTGTGTATTAACTTTAGAAGTACATCATAACTGATTGTTTTTATGATGCATGCTTCAGTGCCTTCCTCATTCGTTTGATTTCAAGTTGCTTATTTATTTATTTATTTTTTGCAGTGGAAAACATTAAACTTTAATTCTCAATTAAAGATGCAGCTCTCACATTGATTCTCTGAGGGAATACAGTTTGAACTAGTATAAAACATCCCTTGAGGTGCTGGTTGAAGCTATGCTAATCCGGCTGGGGTCATTTTATCTCCTGATTTATTTGCATGTATTAAAACATTATGCATGTCCGAGAGGAATACCAGAGCACTTTTTTTATTGAAATTCACTGTCAACATCAAATTCGAAATATCCAACATAGCACTTGCTGTGTAGCTACAGTACATTATACATTATGAATGAACTCAAGACAGATAAAGAAACATTCTGTATTCAATACACATAAGCTCAATCAGCAGCCTTTGCGGGTATTGTTTGATTTCTTTTATCCCTTCCAACTTTAACAATTCTGATTGTTCTTGATTGCTGGTTTTAATTCCAAGGTAGTGAAAAAAATAAAAGATTTATATGTTAGGTATATTTATTCTGTACCAGAATATCAGAACTAGGCCATATTAAAAGCAAGGTCTTGTTTGAAAGGATAGTTCTACCAAAAATTGAATTGTTCATACACTGTTTCAATTCACTACAATCTTCTATGTGAAGCTGCTTTGACAACTCTGCTTCGTAACTGTTTGATTTAGTGGCTAATTCATATGAATTTGTAGGATCTAATTCGTACAATGTAGTACGATTTGCTCATCAACCAATGATGGTTAGGTTAAAAATTAGCTGCTAAACTGACAGGATATAAAAATCTTACATTTCCTTGTGAGATCAGGCTGGCTTTGACACAGTCTACATTGTAAAAGTGCTATGGAAATACAGTTGAATTGAATTGAATACAGTGGTTACAAATCTTTCTGAATTTATATTTATTCTGTTGGAAACAATAAGATATTTTGAAGAATGTTGGAAACTGGTAGTCATGGGCTACTGGTGTTCTCAATTCTTACAGTTTTGTACAAGTGGAGGGTGAATAAATGGTATCACAATTTACATTTTTTGGCAACAAACAAATATATGAATAAATATTTATATATAAATTAGCAAAAAAAAACTAAAATAAATATGCAGAGTGCCGGTGCACATATTTTCTACTACCCAATTCTTAAAAATTGTAAAATAGAACTGAATCTTGATATCAAAGATATCAAGCCAGGGGGCGTTCGGGTTGTTCGGAAGACCCACCCCTCATTGACAAAGGTCCAAAATTTGTCTCATACATGAGCCCATTTGTCCTATTTGCCTTTTATTTTAATTCTTAATCTTGAAAAAAAAAACACATGACCAATAAAAAAGTGTGAAGCTCTAAATTATTATTATTAAAATTAATATTCATTAATTTTCTTTTTGGCTTAGTCCCTTTATTAATTAGGGGTCGCCACAGTGGAATGAACCGCTAACTTATACAGCATATATTTTACGCAGCGGATGCCCTTCCAGCTGCAATCCATCACTGGGAAACTTATTATTATTATTATTATTATTATTATCATTATTATTATTATTATTATTATTATTATTATCATTATTATTATTATTATCATTATTGTTGTTGTTGTTGTTGTTCTTCTTCTTCTTATTATTATGTTTTAGTTTTCTATTGTTCAAATGGCCAGATTCTGATTGAGGAAAGATGAATGTGCTGGCCAGTTTGTTATTTGCCTCATAAATAACAATAAGCTACAGTTTGTATTGTAAAAGTTTTTCTAATGGTATATGATGTAATAAATTAAAAAAATATTTATTTGTCATATTTCTTGATTCTAAATATTTAGGAAAGATTTTTGGTGCATCAAAAAGTGTGGTTATGATGACCACCCGACAAGCTAATCCAGCAAATGTCACCTATATTCAGTATTTAAATTTTATAAATGAATAGAAAATGAGGTGAATAACTGCAAAAAGGTCAATTTTTTCAGAAAAAAGAACCACCCTTTTCCCCAGGCTGGCTACAGGCCTGTTATACTGTATCTGTTTTTACTTTTAAGTGCTGTGGGGATTCAAAGTAATAAATGTGAAGTGTGTACCTTTATTCTTTGTTGTTTTAGATGCAAATTGTAAAATTGACAGTGACTTTACACAGTAAAGATTAGTCAGCATTGTTTTCTGCCCAAAAATCTTAATAAAGGGCTAGACCACACAAAATTGGAAAGCTGCTGTTAATTTACCCATTTCAGGCAATCTAAGATGTAGATATTGTATTTTTTATAAGTAGAACACCAAAGTAGATGGATAAAAAACATATATCCAGTAATCTTTTTTTTCACAGGGCTCCAGATGATACAATTTAATTTGAAGCAAAAATGGTCAGTCTGTTTAGAAAAATGACCTAAATTACCTTAAATCCACACAGCCACAGCAAATGGTTGTTTGCATTTTCCTCAGAGACTGCAGGACTAGTTTGCTGGATCCAGAATAAGCACATGTACCACTTTGACAAATAATATACCCCACACACATCCCTTCTCTCAGTTTTAAGCAATCAGCATCAATTGCTGGAATTAATTTGAATTTTACTGTATTTTTTACTCCAGCCAAAGTGTCTCTATCTGTTGAGTTATATATAATGACCACAGTATCAGCTAATAATCTACTTTAATGTTCTTCTGATAAAAAATAAATAAATGAAATAAGATAAAATAAAACAACAAATAAGGTCAACTTTATCATGCATAACCTGATGCTGAGCACATTTTCGTTTATGGGTGAACTATAAACATGCATATTGTGCTCAGCGGTAAGCTGCTATTGAAATAGTTCACATTGTATGATTTACAAATTGGTTTTAAATTCGAGAAGTTCTATATTATACCCTCAAAGATGTCAACTGAGCTGAAGTGGTAATGAATAAAGAACAGTCCTTTAAGGCAGCACAAGAACCATTCACAGTAAACTGTTGGATTTCTAAGCTTCTCCGATTTTAGGGATGTTGAATTTAATCTATAGTGATTTATATAAAATACAACAATCAAAGAATGTCTAAACATTCAAAACAGCAGAGAATATCCGAGTTATTAAACAGAGGTAAGAGCAAGAACATAGTACTTAACATAAGCATATTTTTTTAAAGAGCTTGTTAAGCGAAGCTGAGAAGCATAATCAAAGAGTCTTCTTCAAAGCTTCACACACAGTAGGAAATCACAGCTTTGCTCACATAAAGACACAGGGCTCTTCAGATATTAAAGTGTTACGCACAATAATTGGTAACAAATTTTCACAGGAGAATAGTCATCACAGCATTAAATTGAAACATGCTTAGAGGGTAATAGGAAACAAACAAACAATGCTGTCGCTGAAATAAATAAAGGCTCATGAAAGAAGACATTATGTTGCACAACAACCCAAATAACCAATCAGAACGCGAGGATGCATCGGTACGAAAAACCCAGTTGAATCTACAACTTCAATTCACGCAGCGATTTGAATGTTAAATAACTACACTCTCCGCTGTGCTCCTTCAGTCAATGCAGAACCATGGTGATGTCGATCAAAGCTGCAGAAATCCTCCGGCTCACTTTGAGTGTTTTCTTTTAATAAGGCTTCTGTAAGGCATCATTAGCCGTGCACTTTATTTTCATGGCTGATTCTGAAATGGCAGCGTTATAGTCATTGTGGTGTCCTGGGGCTGCGCGAGTGGGCGATTGACCATTTCACTTTCATTCTGTCTGGCGTTCTCTTCGTTCATTTGAGACACTTCAGTGGATCCCGCTTCGAATCCGGGAACGGTGTTGGCCACATTGACCACATGCACCTTATTCCGTCCCTTCTTGCTGAGGATGCAGCTGAAAACCTTCTTGAAGCCCTTGCGAAAGTGTTTGGACACCAGGGCGTAAACGATGGGGTTGAGGCAGGAGTTGGCGTAGGCCATGCAGTGGGACAGCAGCCTGAAGGCATAGGTGGTCTGATTGAAGGGAAAGTCTCCATAGAGGTAGCACAAAATCACTACATGGTACGGCAGCCAGCAGATGCAAAAGAGCACCGTGACTATAATGATCATCTTGGTGACCTTGCGCTTTGCTCGTTTCGACTCCGACATCCCATCAAGCGGGTCGACTGCTGTCCAGAGGTACTTGATGGTGCGGGTGTAGGACAGGCTCACGATCAGCACTGGAATAACGTAGCCAAAAACAAAGGTGCATGTGTCCAGAACCTTACGGTTATGCTCTTCCCATCCAGGCACGCACACATTGCTGTTCTCGAAATCGATGAGGTCGTAGTAACTCAGGTAAGGCCCAGCGAAAACCAGCGACAGGCCCCAGATGACCACCATTGCTACAACAGCATTACACGGCGTTCTCAATTCTCTGGAGCGCAACGGGTAACGAATGGCCAGATATCTGCAACAGAAGAAATGCACCATCACCATCAGAGATTTTCGTTGCTTTTTAACACTGTAAAGGGCCCATCACACCGAGAGCGAACTACCCCTTCTGCTTCCCCTTGGCCCTTGAAAAAGAGATTGTATAGAGGAAGGCCTTCAAAATTTACCCCTTAGAAATGGGACAGCACTACAACACTTGCACACATCATCATATGTCATCGTGATCTCTTACTACATATAAGATTGACAATGGCGACTTCTGTAGTTTTTCCAGTTGCCAGTTTTTTTATTTTTATTTATCTTTAGGAAATCACAGAAGGCATCAACTCAATGTATCATCATGAGCCATGGATTTTATTCCGAAGAAAAGACGTAATGTAATATGTATTTATGTAGTGCATTTATTGTGTATGGGAACTCGCATCACAGTCATGAGTAGGGAGGGGGGTCTCTCCACACCACCACCACCACTGTGAAGCATCCACTTGGATGATGTGATGGTACAGCAGTCACAGGACAACGGTGCCAGTGCACTTACCACACACCAGCTATAGGTGGGGTGGAGAGACAATAATAAAGCCAATTCGGTGGAAGAGGATGATTGGGGGGCCATGATCGATAAGGGCCGATGGAGGGAATTTGGCCAGGACACTAGGGTTACACCCCTACTCTTTACGAGAAGTGCCATTCTATTTATAATGACCACAGAGAGTCAGGACCTTGGTTTAATGTCTCATCCGAAGATGACAAAAAATCTTTGATGGCTTGATAATTTTTGGGCAAAACATTCCCTTATGTGAATATTGTTTTTGTCTGCACTACTAGAACTAAGAGTATTGTAACATTTACAAAGTGCTTCCGTGCAAACCATGGGTTTTGTATTTTCATATTATATATATATATATATATATATATATATATAAAATAGTCAACATCATCTCTACTAGATGGCGAGGCAGAGCCGCAGTAGGCCTCACAGCAAGAAGGTCGCTGGGTCGCTTGTTCGAACCTCGGCTCAGTTGGCGTTTCTGTGTGGAGTTTGCATGTTCTCCCTGCCTTTGCGTGGGTTTCCTCCGGGTGCTTCGGTTTCCCCCACAGTCCAAAGACATGCGGTACAGGTGAATTGGGTAGGCTAAATTGTCCGTAGTGTATGAGTGTGTGTGTGAATGTGTGTGTGGATGTTTCCCAGGGATGTCTTGTGGGGGAAACTAGAGCATCCAGAGGAAACTCGCATGAACACGGGGAGAACATGCAAAGAACATGCCGAGGCTCGAACCAGTTACCTTCTTGCTGTGAGGCAGTTGTTCTACCCACTGCGCCACCGTGACACCCTGTTGCGAGCTTACAGGCTTCCACCCAAAGTGTCTTCTGGGTTTAATTCTCCCTGCAATCAATGCTTGCTCAATGTCATCAGCGTGTAGTTCTATCAACACAGAATGCCCTTTTCAGTTTAGAAAATGCGAGATGTAACGCCTTTTTAGTTGAATTTAGAAAAGAGCAGTGCACTGTGCTTTTTATGTTGCTAGGCAACCACGGATTCAGCTGTCTTGGTACTTGATCAGTCAATACGAGTAAGGAGTTTTTTTAACCGCAGAAATTCACAACAAAGAAAGCCATAGCAGGCGACGAAAACGCAAAACGTTCACTGCCAATAGCAAACAATTTTAAAAAGATGCCTCTCACTTCAAAAAAAAAAATTTAAATAAAGTGTTCTGATTTCTAGCAAAATATAGCAGAAACATATCTGAAACCCAATAAATGAAAGGGGTCGTGTACTGCCTTTTTTTTTATTTTGTACTGTTCTCTGAAATCGACTTATTATTTTCTATCTTCTTTTGTGCCCTAATCAGAACACACTCTTTTAAAACTTGTGGCAGACTGAAAGAAGTAAACCACTGGTATGATTGGTATGGTTTGGCATACTGCTGCAAATTCTTACTGATGTCAACACAGACATAAACACTGCATTTATTTTTGTTATCTGATGTAAAGCATGCTGAAAACTACAAATCTTTTGCAGATAAGTTTAACTTAATCATTTATTGAGCTCACGCTGTTATGTGACTGTTGAGTACATTTATCGTATCTGTGTAAAATTTAATTAAAGCAGCTTTGATTTTTGTTTTTTTCTGATGTAGTCATGTATAAAGTGGATTTTTTTTATATATTCATGCATAAATAAAGCACAGAAAATGTTTATCAGAAGCTGTGTATGGCTTCCAGAAATTGAGTTTGACCCAAAACACAATATAATCAATATAGCCAGTGTGTTTCTGTGCACAAGATGAATGTCGTCTTGCTGTTTTCTACCCAGAGGTGAGGTAATTGCCAGTGGGGATTCTCAGTCTCTGCTGGGCCCTGACCATTTTTCACAGAGCAGATTAACATGTTTTTTTTTCCACAGGTAAACACTTTCAGGGTGGATGGAGGGCAGTAGGTCTTTCAGTAGGTTTGTTCAGCTGAGAGTAGCATTACACCGGGTCATACAGGTGGCCTTGCTACATTTTCATCATTATTTTGGCAAAAATGGCTGGCTGGTTCACCCATTCAGAAGTCTCTAGGTCAGCTCACTGAGTCCCACTCATTGCTGGCACTTTAAATTGACCTTAATGTTAAAATGGACCTAACATAGTTTTAGCTAACACACTAGTAGGTGAGTGGGTGCTACTAAAGCTTCATTTTTCACTTGTTTTATTGTAAAGGCTTGTATAACGTGTTGCTGGTTTTTGGAGTTGTTTTATTAATGAAGTGGGTGGTTGGCGATAACTCCACTGACATTTATCCAGTTAAACTTCAACCTTTGCTGATGCAATTTGCAAGACTTCCTTCTGTTCAGACGATCCATTTATTTAAATAACAACCCTGGTCTCACCAATTACAATAATGTTAAATTCTTCTTGCTGTCATATCTTGAACCCTATGGGGGAACATTGAAAATGTTGCATCAAGGAAAGCCATGAGGCTATTATATCTAGAGTGAACTTTACTTGACAGGATTAATATAATGTAAAATCAACATTCCAGAGTTCTCCAAAAAGGTCTTTTGCTTTCATGCCAAGGAGTTTATGATGGTCATTATAACTAATTCATATCATTCAATCATATTTCTTCGGCTTAGTACCTGTTTTATCATGGGTCGCCACAGCGGAATGAACCGCCAACTTTTCCGGCATATGTTTTATACAGCGGCTGCCCTTCCAGCTGCAACCCTGTCCTGGGAAACACCCATACACTCTCTCATTCACACACAATGCCAATTTAGTTTACCCAATTCGCTTATAGTGCATGTCTTTGAATTGTTTGGACTCGAACCAGTGACCTTCTGACAGTACTAACCACTGAGCCACAGTGCTGACCTCTAATGCACATCAGTTTACTTCTAAATCTGAATATCACATTAAGTGTTTTTTTTTTTTTTTTGTATTTTAATTTACTTGATGCTAATGGTTTTAATGTATAAATAATTTTTCACTGTCCTAAACTTCTACATTTAATGTAAAAATAAATAAATAAATGATTATTAAAAATTTAAATATGCTCAATATGAATATATGACCCTGAAACACAATGTGTTTCATTGTGCGCATGTTTATTTATTTATTTATTTAGCAGAAGCAAACTAAATTTGTAAAAAAGTGTCCATTTTTCTTTTCTATCAAAAATCTTATGAGATATATAAAGATATTAAAATATTAGGATATTTTGTAAATGTATTAATGCAAATATATAAATATATAAAACTCAGATTTTCTAATAGTGTTTAAATCTTGACTTTGAGATAATTTACTCTTATGACTTGTTTTGTGGTCCTGGGACATATATGAATAATCATTTTCAAATCATATTTAATGTGAAAATAATGTTTATACACCCCCTCAAACAAACAAACAAACAAACAAACAAACAAACAAATAAATAAATAAATAAACTAATAAATAATAAATAAAATAATACATTTAATATAAAATTAGTCTTTACAAATCGAAAAACTTGCCATTTTATTCCAAAAATAGTATAACTAAAAGAAAAAGTCATTTCTAGCTCAGTACAGTGGCGTAGCGGACGGGCCCGCAGGGCACGCACCGCGGGGGGGCCCCGCGTGATTAGGGGGCCCCACGTCGTCACGATTTTCAAAAATTTAAAATCCAGGAACCGCAATAATCAAACTCTTGGGAACAACTGTGGACGGAACCAAAGTTCACAGGTCTGTGTTCTCTGAACACCTCTCAAGCGGTGGACTACTTCATTCTGATTGCTTGCCGCCGAACCGCGTCATAGCCAATGAAGACGCGCCGCTGTTTCTTGCCGCCGGTTCTCGTTAAAAAATGAATGACTTCTGGCTACTTTGACGCTCTCGCCGCTTTCGGTTTGTGATCGCTCCTCAGTTTGTGAAGGATTCCCCGCGTTGTCGCTCCAGTCCGCCTCATTTCCCCGCACCTCAATTTGTGACATAGATATATACACTAGATATTGTATAGGGACCCTGAGCATGCGTCAATAGCGCAGCCACATTGGTACAGTGCTCCCAGGACAAATGTCATTCAGTCGCACTAGACAAGTGCTATTACGTGAAGATGCGGGACTGTAGCGCTGTCTACGAGTGTAGTAACGAGCAAACAAAGAAAACAAAGCACAAAGGCAGAACATTCCATAGGTAGGATTAAGTTTTTTACGTTTTTGTATGTTCTGAAATTTGTGCTAAACAGGTAGCGTTATTGATAATAATACAGCCACTTACTGCATTCACTATAAGTCAAATTAGCTCCAATTCGCACTAAATACTCGGCTTATGCTAGTTTTGTTGAATAAAATCAGCAAACAATGAAAAAGAAATATTACAACGAGATGCTGCGGTGCCAGAAACTTGTATTATTGTCGGCTAGTGAAGGAGTCGTTCATAATGGAGATTCATTCACAAACAAATCGCTCCCTCCATCAGTATGAGGAGTGAAAGCAGGAGAGGAGGTGTGTTTCAGGACATGATTAGATCAAATTTAACAGGGAGGTGGATAGTACATTTCTGTACACACAAACACAAGCTTTTTGTCAGGAATGCCCGTGCGGTCACTGATCCATCAATGTAGAAAAGTAATGTAAAATTATAATTTTCATAATTGAAATAAAAATAAAAATACTAACATCCAGGAAAACTCCCGATCATAGATATATGTGTATATGTGTATATCTCTGGCTCTGCCGCCCCCAACCCCCTTGAAAACTGGGGGCCCCATCGGTGATCCCTGCAGGGGGGCCTCCGCATTTTGCGCTACGCCACTGGCTCAGTAATCATAAAAACGCCTTTCTACTGCTAACGACAAGTGACAGACCGGAAGTCATTCAGTAGTCCGGAAGCTCATATGCGGAAAATTCAGATCCGATTTGAGCTGCGGAAATATTTTTAAAATATTTGAACTCCTGCGACTAGACTGTAGCTACCGGCTGACCGGATGTGATGTATTCCAGTGTTGTCCAAGCGCGTGATGAGCAATACTAGTTTTTTGTTATTTTTTGAATCAGAAAAATTTCTATACTAAAAAGCATAATAAAAAACATAAACGAGTAATAAAAATATTATATTTTTATGTTCTCTCCAGGGTGACGCAGTGGCGCAGTAGTTGGTGCTGTTGCCTCACACTAAGAAGGTCGCTGGTTCGAGCCTCGGCTCAGTTGGCGTTTCTGTGTGGAGTTTGCATTTTCTTCCTGCGTTCGTGTGGATTTCCTTCGGGTGCTCTGGTTTCCCCCACAGTCCAAAGACATGCGGTACAGTTGAATTGGGAAGGCTAAATTGTCCATAGCGTATGAGTGTGTGTGTGCACTCCTTTATTTTGAACACCGCGAGAATCAGCTTTTCTTCCATGGTGCACGACAAAACTGAACATTTTAGGCAACTGCCACAAGGGGGCGTATTCCGACAGTCGTGTCCAAATGTCAAATGCAATGGAAAGGCGGCTTAACAGAATGTGATGTGAGATGTGGTGGAGGTATCATTGTGATGGAAAGATGATACATAAAATGGTGAACTATTGAATTGCGACAGAAATTTTCTTTCATGAATGTTTAAAAATTCTATATTTCCATGATCATTTCTAGAATATGAGATTCATTTGTTTTCTTTCACTTTCGTTAATCGGTGAAGTTTTGTTCCTCTCCATTGTCTTGCTTGGTTTGGGACTTGTGTAGCAGCGAATCGTTTCAAGAGTTCAAACTTAGCTGATGATTTATAAAAGCTTGTTTGGCATGCTGTCCCAGGAGAAGGGACCAGGGCCGGCAGTGTTCTTGCTGTGTGGCTCACAGTGCTAACCACTGGGCCGCCGTGCCGCCCAATCAGAGGTAAAGGAGGAGAATAGGGGAGGGGGGTTTCTTCCAAACGAAGATAAAATGAGCTGGAAACTGGTTATTTAAAGTAGCTTAGGGCTCATATGATTGGAAGATCAATTAAACCGCACTGAACTGAACTAAACTGAACTGGACTGACACAGTTTCAATTTACTAGAACTTCTATGTTAATCTGCTTTGACACAATCTACATTGTAAAAGCGCTAAAGAAAAAAAGATGAATTTAATTGAAATGAAATTTAGGGTCAAGGGGGGAGGGTCTGATTGAAACAATGAGGATGTTTAATCTGATGTAATGTATGCATTTACTGTTGTACATGTTATTAGGTAAAAGTAAATGAACCGCTAAGAGTATGAAAGAAATAAGAGTATGTTAATAAACATGGCTATAGCAAACACCCACCTGTCCACCGACACCGCTGCCAGTGTGAAACTGCTAGCATACATGGTGAGGTTGATGAAGAAGTGAACCACCTTGCACATGAAGGACCCGAAAACCCAACCCTCCAGGGAGTAGATGGTTGCTTGGAAAGGCACGCAGAAGATGATGAAGAAGAAATCGGCTACGCTGAGGTTGAGGATGAACAGATTGGTGGTGTTGTACCCAACCTGCCCACTTCTAAGGAGCACAGCCAGCACCAGACTGTTCCCGATGGTCCCCAAGAGGAAGATGAGCGAGAAGACCACTGACACGATGACACTGGCTGGGTTGAGCTGATAGCTCTCTGAGGCATTCCAGTGTCCCATGGCTTTATTCAGGTCCTCGTGATCAGACATTTTAAGATATGAAGTTCCACAGCCCTATATATAAAAATAAAAAAGAAATAAATCAGGGATTTGCTCTTTTGAAAAAAAAAAACGTGAGGATTTGATGTAAAAGTCTATGATAGCAAATCTGCCCCATCTTTTCGGAATCTGAACAGCAGCATGATGAGATTTAAAAGCTCTTATGAAAGCTAGGCCCGTGCTGAGAGTAAATATCAGGAGGATCAGACTCGAGAAGCCATTTTGATGAACATGGAAAAAAAAAACATTGTGATTATGAAAGATCAGGAAAGCTGGTAAAGTACAAAGAGGATCGAGAAATGAGTCAAGTCTAAGATCAATTCCAGAAAGCTATCGTAACATCTCTAAAGGCAACGAACCTGTGTCATCAAGATAAACTGAAACAAATTATCAAACCATCCAAAAACAACTTTGCACTGATATCTGTTGACTACAAACTGAATTGATCAATTTTCATCTTGATATAAGCTCTCAACCAGGGGTGGTTTCCCAAACAACAACATAACTCATGGCTGAACTATCATAGTACGATGCATCGTTTGAGAAAAGAATAATGTAGTGACGAGTTGTTCCCAAAACTGTTGTTCCTCTGTCGCAGATTTGTCATTAGTTATAACGTAAAACGTCTGTAATGACGCTCTAAACGGGGTGGCAACAATTCCTTTAATGAAAAACACCATAATTTTTTTTGTGCAAATGATATTGTTTTACACACACACGCATTTAAACAAAAATCCAATATTATTTTTTGTAAAAACACGCACTTGTTTTCCATATTAATTGAAATATATGTAAGCAGCACATATAGGGCCTATGTTACTTTTACAAAAATTATAATATGTCTTATTCTATTATTAAACATAAAACCACTTAGCTAACGTGTATTTTAATCTCATATAAATCATTTAAACCGTTAAGGGTTGTAATTTACAGTAAGCTATTTATTAAAAAAGAAAACAAATCCTACTGTACATAATAATAATAATAATTAGTTTTATTTTTATTATTATTAAGTAAGATAGGGACCCTTTTCACAAGCCTGTTATGATGCGTTTAATGTCCATCAGCATCTGAAATCCTTTTTTAAATCCTATTTAAATCCTTAAATAGTTTATTATTATTTTTTTTCTGAGAATAAACAATTATATGTATGTATTATATCACCTTTGCTTCAAATTACAAAAAATTAATTACCGCTTATGCGGGGTGTTTCTAATGCAGCGCCAATGGAACAGAACAGTAAATTTGACATATTCTCTCTTCTGGCTGCCGTCATCAGTCTCACACAATTTTTTCTCTTTTTCTGAACGGCTTTATAACATCATAGTGAAGTTTCTCTTTTATTATTTAAGCAAATTATGTTGTAAAAAAGTATTTGTTGTATTCTCCCATTCACTGCGCTTTAAGTTTTCCCAGCTATGATGACTTCGGCTACTGAGAAAGCCGGAAATGTGAAAGGGTCTATTGTTTATTTATGTTTTTAATTCTACTTTTACAATTCGACACATTCAAACCTCTGCAGAAATGTTCTAACCAATCATGTCAGATACAGTACATATACATTTCTTAATAATATTGCTTAATAACCTACTATAAATTTAAAACTGTTAACGTATGGTATATATTTTTGTTTTCACCAGCTTTGGAATTAAATATTATATCAGCTATAGCTTTCGTCATAAGATTAAGACTCCTGGCATAAGAATCATGAGACTCATGGCATAAATATTTTCAAAGTGCACTATGAAGGGAAAAACTGAAGTGTAAAAATACTTTGAAAGCAAATTACACCTAAGAGAGATGACTTCAATGTTTTTATTATTTTTTTATTTTTGTCAATCCAAGTTTCAAGAGTTCACACTTAGATATTGTTTGACTTGTTAGTAGGTTTGGCATGCTGTCCCGGGAGAGAATCCTGAGCTCGAAAATAGTTGAGCCCAGTCCTCCTTCCTGGTCAATAGAGCATGTAAGGGAAGTACGAGATCAGGTGGATCTCGAGAGCTCCATGAAAGGAGGAGAAGGGGTGGATGGGGGGTTTCTTTGGAAAACGCAGGTAAGGGAGTAGTTCTAGCCTGGCTACTTATAGTGAGTTTGGACTAATCTGATTGGCCAACTAATGATTGCAGATGGGTGACCAGCTCCAGTCAATCATATCACGTGCCCCTCTCAAAATTAGTTTGTAAAACTTCACTTAAATGCTTCTAACTACAGCTCTAGAGGTGTAGTTGAAAGCGTGTAAATTTGCAACGTAGTTTGCAAATGTTCATTGGAACGATGGATTTGAGAAGCGTCAAATCAGCAAACTATGTTTGTAATGACGGAACTTGTGATCTAAAGTCGCCGTTCTACAGCACATGACATTCAGACATGACTATCAGAATAGGCCCCCTTGTGGCAGTCGGACAGAATTTCCAGTTGTGTCGTGCACTATGGGAGAGAACCTGGATACTCCTGGTGTCAGAAATAAAGGAGTGCAAATGCAAGAGCCATTATTCATCGTCCATTTATCATGGTTGAATGAATAGATGAATAAATACTAGAAGCTCATGCACAGATAAAAATTTTGCAGAGAATGCCGAGTAAACCTTAAAAAATGTATTACACATTTATGAATATTTATTTATTTTTATTTTTTTTAACATAAACTTTTTGTATGAATTAACCCCCCCCCCCCACCCCCCCACCCCCCCCCCACCCCCACCCAAAAAAAAAAAAAGGATTTCTCATCTCGCACGCATGGATCTACTTGGACAACACTGGAATACATCACGTCCGGTCGACCGGTCGCATATATAAGGTCTAGTCACAGGATTATTTGAACAGATCCACAGTTCAAATCAGATCTGAATTGTCCGTATAAGTAAATGTCTCGTGCAGTGGAATGGCGACTTTAGATGGCTAACGATGGTTTTCGGAAATGCACCCCTGATGCTCTTCATACACTGAAGAAAATGATTCATTGGATTTAACATTTTTTTAAGGTTGCAAACAATTTATATGTGCTGAATTTAAACAAATTAAATTGAAATGTTCTGATGTTCAACTTTATTTGCTTAAATTTAGCTCATATAAATTGTTTGTAACCCCTAAAATATTTTAAGTAAATCCAATGAATCATTTTCTTCAGTGACTGAAGAACATCTGCTTGTCAAGATAAAAATAGATCAATTCAAATTGTAATCATCAGATATCAGTGCAAAGTTGTTTGTGGATGGTTTAATATTATATACTCTCAATAGAGGGTCATGTTAATAATTTGTTGATGGTCAAAGCTGCAGTGAAAAGGAACATAATTGCCTACCAGCGGTTAATCCCACAGTATGTCCCGAAAGGTTGTTGCTCAGAAAGAGTCAGCATCGATTTCTCCACTTCAGATATTGATCAGGCTATGGGAACAGGGGAAAGAAACGATATAACTTCAGCTTTTACACCAACAAGCCCATATATGTGGCTATCTGGGGAATGGAAACATCTTCACTGTAAAAATAATGCTTTATCGTACTGCAAAATGCTTTTGATTGACTGATTTGAGAGATTTTATTCATTATTTTCTTCATTAGTCATTATTGTTATTATTATTATTATTATTATTATTATTACTATTATTATTATTTCCTTGTTATTATTGTTGCTGTTGCTATTATTATTATTAATTATTATTATTGCTATTTGGATGCCCATTTACGTCATTTGCTTGCAGTCCTTAGCAGAGAAAGAAGTTTGTGTGTGGGTGTGTGTGTTTGTTAGCATTTGTCTATGTAGGGCCTAACCTTAACCCTAACTCTGGCTGATCGACTGACCAACCGACTGATCTCTCCACCCTCCCCCTACCCTAAACCATAGTGTTTTCAAAAGCACTGATTGACCAGCGTCCACCCACTTCCCTAAACCCAACCTACAGTGTTTTCAAAAGCAATGCAAAAAAAGATAAGCCCCATGCCTATTTTTATGCCATTTTACCATATCCTCACCCTGTTATTTACTTGCTGTTTTATTTTTTGGCCGTTGTCACAGTCAACTCCGCTCTGGGTCTCAAATCCTCAGACGTATAGCAGAAAAGCTACACGGAGGTAAGAGGTCAGCTAGTAAGCATGAAATGGAACGGCGTCATACCACCCCTAAGCACTCGTTTTAAGATGACATGCAGCCATACATACTTCTGGCTACATAATTCGCGATTTCCAGAAATGTATATAGGGCTACGTTTTCAGAATGAGCCCATGTTGGAATTTTTCAAGCCCCTCTCCTTTCCCCAGCACCTCCTGTTTATTTAATATAGTTATTTTACATACTGGCGAAAAAGTGGCTAATCCATATAAATGAATATGATTTTATTCATATAAAAAGCATACCATTTTTTAAATGAAAGTATTCTCCCACAACCTCACCTGTAAACCCAACCATCATTAGGGAATGATCAATTTGAACTAAAAGGTACAAATATCATTGTTCAAATCATAAGATTTAGCCATTGAATCAAAATTTTTGAATTGCCATTGCTTGTTTGTTTGTTTGTTCTGCCTTAAGCTGAATTTTAAGCAGTAGCAATGTTTCAGTCAGCCCTCATTCATGCGGCAGCAGCATTAGAAATCGAGTCCCCCAAGAGAAAGAATACATACATTTTATTTTTTATCAATGAAGGCTGTTTAAATTGTTTCTGAGAGCCTGAACCTGAAATAGCTAAGAGCAGTTGTTAAGTGAGGACAAGGAGCTTTCAGGCAATAGGACTAGAGAAGGTAGAGCCGTGGCTGACAAAGTGCATTCTAAAAGTGCGACATAACCAGCTGACAATAAAAAAACGAAACGTTCAGAATATATGTGACTAATCCACCCCATGCAGAAATGTGGAAACTGTCCTATTATGCCGTAATTGGTTGTCAGACATTCATCATGCTGTAATTAAAACGCGCATCTTCAGTCCCTCTTCAAAAGCAGTTTCATTACATCTGCTGATTGTTTTGTTTGTGTAAGCTGTAAGATCAGATGATATTGCGTGATATTCTGTCTTTAGCAGGAGCAGAGCGTGACTCATTATTTAGCAAGACCTTTATGGTTGTAAATTTGGGTAAATGAACAGGAAGCCATTCATGCTGAGAGGTAAAAAGCTCTCCTGGACACATTTGCCATAGTTATTTCTCGCTTCTCCACTGCCTTTACAGATAACTGACATTAAAGAGGAAGTCAGAATGAGGAGGAGAGGAGGAAAAGGGAAACAAAGTCAGGGAAAGAGAGAGAGACGGTTAAAAAAACAACTTAAAAAACTATAAGTGCTGTCAAATGCATTTTGTGTGTCTAAACGATAGCTTCTCTATTGAATCTGACTAATCGTCAAGAAAATAGTTAGAACATTCAATTTGTAGTCATCAGAGATCTTAGCAGAGAAATTTAGAGATTAAAAAATCCCTATAAAAATACAGTTAAAGTCATAATTATTAGCCCGCCTTTGAATTTCTTTCTCTTTCTAAAATATTTCCCAAATGATGTTTAACAGAGCAAGGAAATTTTCACAGTATGTCTGATAATATTTTTTTCTTCTAGGGAAAGTCTTATTTGCTTTATTTTGGCAAGAATAAAATAAGTTTTTATTTTTTAAAAAACATTTTAAGGTCAAAATTATTAGTCCCTTTGAGCTAATTTGTTTCGATAGTCTACTGAACAAACCATCATTATACAATAACTTGCCTCATTACCCTAACCTGCCTAGTTAACCTAAGTAACCTAGTAAAGCCTTTAGATGTCACTTTAAGCTGTATACGTATGTAAAACGTATCAGTATGTCATGAAATTGTGAATTTGATAGATTCCTTGAAAATAAAATGTTGCTTTGTGTATTGATTCAAGGTGAAGTGATCTCGAAAGCTTCAAGAGCCTCTCTGTTTTTCTCATGATGTTGAAGTGTTTTCAGAAATTACTTGAAAATTGCCAGTGCATTTAAAAAAAATGTCTTTTATCTAAAGAGGAAGCCTTCACCTGGGAATTATTCTTTAGCCTTATTGATCCCAAACTGCTGACTCTAGTTGAAATAATTCCACAGATTAGTTTACTTATAGATTCATACCACAGCAAGTGTGTTGTTTCGCTTTTGGCACCTCCGCTAGAACAATCCCCTTTGTCAACACACCTGACTGTCTTTCATGAGAAGCCAGCTGACTAGCTGCCAGTGAATGTAAAATGAAGTGTCCTTCTAGAAGGGCTGTCAAACTGATCCCTTTGGTTACAGTCACGGAGTGCATCCGTTTGTCACTTGTTAAATGGCGCACCAAACCGCCTCAACATGTGCCTTTAACCAACCTTTCAAACTCATTTGCCATTTAAAATTAATTGAGTCGAACTTTCATGAACTCACGAGCCAAATCTCAGTACGTGAACTGCATGCCTGTGGGGTAAGAGTTTGAAGTAGACCCGTTTTAACAAAGAAGACGACGTTTTTTAATGTTGTAAATGAAGCATGGCTTATGTAGGATGTGAAATAGAGCAAATACAGCACATAGATGCATTGAAGAAACAATCTAGCCCACATACATTTAAATCCTATGCGTCCTGCAGTGCCAAGATTCATTTAGGTGTATCACATCAAAACGAAACCCACGTCATTCAAGGTTATTACAGAGATAATACATATATTAAACAACAGTTGTCTTGAGAAATGTCACTGTGTACTAACTATTTATACCTCAAAACATCTGAATGTGTGATGAGAATGAGAATTTCAGTCGGTTGCTTTTACTTACTGGCTCATGAGATGATCCATGACTGTATTATAGTCATTATAAGATCAAGGAGCTTCTGGTCTCCAGAAAAGCTGGAACGGAACAGCACCTGAACAGCCTTCATCTCATCTGTTTCGGGCTTCTCCGTTTCCCTTGCATTCCTCCCTCACTCCCCCTCACATATGGAGGCTCCTCCTCCACATCGTGGTAAAAGCTCACAGTTCACTGCAAGAGAGTGAGAGTGAGAGAGAGAGAGTATGCAGTGTTTCTCTGTCTCACAAAGATCTTTTCATCTGTGTTACTTGTGCTGTTGCATCAATGCATGCACACACACACACACACACACACACACACACACACAAATCTAGATTATGAATCTGGTGAATTATTCAAAACAAGGCCTTGTGGTATTTACTTCTTGCATCACTTTTTGCGCAGGGTCATTTTTTCTCAGTCACATAATTTAGAAATCCATTAGAATATATTTCCCAAGAGATGGGAATTTAAATGCAATCCATTTGCAGTATTATTCAGTTGGATGCACACTTTGACCAAATCAATAACATCCTTTCATGTTATCATTGCTCATGCTAATATAACTCAAGCATGGCGTAAAATTCTCAACATGTTTATGGTGCTTGCGCACTTTTGTTTTGTTTTCGTAAAAATACCATCTGGTGCATTTTACACTTAAAAAATATTCCAAGGTTCTAAAAAAAAAAAAGGCATTTAGAAGGTATTTTATTTGATTTAAAGTGACAACATTTGTCAAAAAGAAAGGATTAGGTGTAAGACAACTAGATTAACAGGAGCTGGAAAAGAAAAGAATGTGGTTAGGGTTTAGGTTTAAAGGGTGGTGAAGTGTTTTAGGAAAAGATATGTCTTAAGCTGATTTTAAAATATGATAATGGCTTCATCATTTTCTGTGTGGGTATAAAGCTTAGGTCACGTTTACACTAATATGTGTTAGTTTTAAAATGCATACGTTTTATTACGCCTTCTGTCCACATTACCCCAGAGATGTCGAGCCCTGAAAACAAACATTTTGAAAATGCTGAAAAGGCTGTTTTCATTTTAAAACACCAGACATCAGAAAATGATCTGATTGGAGCTTTTTCCTCAATATTAAGTGCACAAATTTCAGTCTTGCATCCTTTCCTTAAGTTCAGACTTCACAAGTTTCATATGGAAAACAAACTCCAGAGGACACGTCGGGTACGCATCACCCTGGCTATGATGTTTCACTTTCTTAACAATAAAATGAAAACATGATATAAGGAACTGCCTATTTTCATTTTGATATTAACAACTTAACAGACACCAAAAATGTTGAGGCATCATGTAGCTACATATTTATATGACCATCATCTTCACTGTATACATATTTATAACAAAACAGAGTTTATAACCGCCTCATTTCCTTTTCTTCAAAAAATATGAAACACCCTGTCTCTTTTACTGAATATCAGTTTTAATAATCAATAATGGCCATTTTAATGGACATTTCTAAACAACAGTTTTATTAACTCATCTCTTATAACTGATTTATTTTATCTTTGTCATGATGACAGTAAATACTATTTTACTAGATATTTTTCAAGACACTTCTATACAGCTTAAAGCAGGGGTTTTCAAAGTGTGAGGCGCGCCTCCCCTGGGGGGCGCCAGAGCATGTCAGGGGAGGCGCGGGAAAAAATATAATATCATAAAAATATAATTGTTAAGTTTAATTATATACATTTTTTTATTATATTTAAACGTTTTAATTAAACAAAGCAAAAAAAATAATACGTCAAATATAAGAAAACCTTTTTTACCCAGAAGGCCATAGCTGTGAATTCGCTTCTGTTTGGCAAGCCTGCCAATACAGGTATGCCTGCTAATACAATGGGTCGGTTTCTGAGACCTCCCGATTAAAAGCTGTAATGAAGTTCACGGCCCTTTGGTCGCCGGGAAGAAGGAGGCGGAGAACCGACGCAGTTCTAAAATGATTTATTAATAACAGTGACGGCTGCTCCTCATGGAGGCTGCCGTCTAAACCAAAACAAACGGACGGCAGCTCCTCACGGAGACTGCCGTCAAACTGAAAGCAAAAGTAAAATATGTCCGGCCCGGTCCTCTCTCGGCTTCCTCTGCCCTCGTTCCTCCTTTTATGGTCCAGATCTCCTTCCGTGGGATCCGAGGCACGTGCGCACCGCAGGTGTATCCACTTACGCGGTGGCTTCACTCCGTTCCCACGGCTCTCGGCCACGCCCCCTCGCCACAAAAGCCTTCAAGTTCAGGGTTTAAACCCAAAAGACGACGATATGATGATCAGTATTTAAGTTTAGGATTTACGTGGACAGGACCAGCTGATGAACCACGACCTTTATGTGTGGTTTGTCAAAATATTTTGGCTAATGACAGCATAAGACCAGCTAAACTTTGACTGTTTTGACTGGGATGAACAGTTCTTGGATCTGTTCTATTCATATTGAACCATCATCCTAGTTTTAAAAACGTTATATTAAAATACTTGTTATTACTCTGTAAATAATTGCACTTTCATGCAAATGATGATAAAAGTGAGTTAACGGTCTGACATCTGTCTGTGTTTTTATATATACTGTATATATATATATATATATATATATATTTATATATATGTGTGTGTGTGTGTGTGTGTGTGTGTGTGTGTGTGTGTGTGTGTGTGTGTGTGTGTTTTTGTGTGTGTGTGTGCATGCGTGCGTGCGTGCGTGTGTGTGTGTGTGTGTGTGTGCGTGTTTGGGAGGAGGGGGGCGCCAATGGATAAGTTGTGTCAAAAGGGAGGCCCACTGTCTTAAACTTTGAAAAACCCTGGCTTAAAGAGACATTTAAAGGCTTAACTAGGTTAATTAGGTTAACTAGGCAGGTTAGGGTAATTAGGCAAGTTATTGTATAACGATGGTTTGTTCTGTAGACTATTGGAAAAAAAAATAGCTTAAAGGTACTAATAATCTTGTCCCTAAAATGGTGTTTAAAAATTAATAACTGCTTTTATTCTAGGCGAAATAAAGCAAATAAGACTTTCTCCATAGGAAAAAAATATTTCAGGCATACTGTGAAAATTTCCTTGCTCTGTTAAACCTAATTTGGGAAATATTCAAATAAAATAAATAAATCAAAGGGGGGCTAATAATTCTGACTCCAACTGTAAAAAGTGTATACCAAGTCGTGATGTTAGTTTCACAGTTACTATCATAAGGTGTTCATGACATGATTGCCTGAGTAAAGAAACTGTTTCTGTGTCGGGCTGTTCTGGTGCACAGTGTTCTGTAGTGTCAATCAGACGGTAAAAGTTCAAAGAGGCAGTGTGCTGGGTGTGAGGGGTCCAGAGTGATTTTGGCAGCCCTTCTGCTCGCTCTGGATAAGTACATTGCTATTTGAATTATTGTTTGAGAAACGAGTAATGAAAGGATAAATATTGATTAATAATCCCAATTAGATTTTGATGCTTAATTGTGGTTTGGACTATTTGGGTAAATGTGAATAACAGAAGATAATAAACACATTTGATGAATAGACTATAACATAGCAGGTTACACTCATGTGACTAATCAGCTGTCTCCATCACATGCTTGCCTTCTTTACTGTTGGTTACTAGGATTCCAATACTACAGTGCAGTCAGCCACTCTTACAACTATGGAAACACACCTGATTTGCATATGGGATTTTTTTTTTCTTTCTTTTTTTGCAAACTTAAAGAAGATTTGCTTCACACTGGGATGGAAACCTGGCTACCGTTGTCTTTATATCAGTCTGGTCTTTCTCCTCTATAGTTGCTGGCATCAACAAGGCGTTTTCACAGAGAGAACTGCTCATCACTGGATATTTTTCACTCTTATTCTGACCATTCTTTGCAAACACAAGAGATGGATGAGTAACACTTTATTTTAAGTCACGATACAAGTAACGTTAGTGTCCATTCTCCATGTATGCAATAATCACATACTGTCCCTACCAGATGCCTTCTCTTTGCATCCTGTTTGTTTAGGTTGGGCATGTGGCAGGTTTGGACCGAACTGGTTGGGCTGACTGAAGCTGCCCTCATCATTGGCTAAAAAGCTTGTAAAAGAAGAAGAAATCATACATTTGCACTGATATAGAGTTTCGCCTAAATGTATTTACATCATAGCTTTTATATCGGCTTTACAATAAGAGACCTGCCCCTTCCCTATTGTTTTTACAGATCTGTATGGTTCATGTAATTGACAGAACAAAATTTCAGAATAAAAACTGCGAATTTCGACGAAAGGTGACAAGCTTGCTCCCCTGTTTATGGTGGGTGATGAGGCTGGGAAATGTGACGGTGCTAGCGTTATCTCAGTTGTGCTTGGTGTCATAAAATAGCAGATTTCAACGCTCAACAATATTAAAATAACATATAAAATTTTTTTTTTACATTTTTTTCTGCAACATTGGATGTTTCACAAGCTTATTGAATGGTATATGTAATGTTCAGTCTCAAAATGTTAAAAGTTTCAATAGCCTTAAAGGAAACCGTGACAGAGGCCGTTAATGACTTTTTCATCCACAATTTGAGGCAAAATTATAATAAAGTTCGATTTTTGTCAACTGCTAAGTTCTGGCAATACTTTAAATCCCTCTAAGACAACCCAGACAATAAAAACATTGATTTTTAAAAGGACTTACCATAAAACTTGCACACCTCAGAATAGGAGAAAATTGTGCCTTCTCGTTCAAATGCCTTCTGTGTTGACATTGGAACGTCGGGCACGTGCACAGGGTAAACGAAGACTGGGAAGTCTATTTTAAGTCACAAATCATGCTGTTAGCTAATTCTATATAACCTTCTATTATTAACATATGAACTGTTTATTAGTAGTTATAAAGTATAGATCTTAATTTACATTCATAATCCAACCCAAAACCTAAAGCTACACTGTAAAACCCAATAATTTAGGGTAACTTAAATCATTTGAGGAAATCAATTGCAACAAACCATTTAAGTTCAAAAACTAATCCTAATGAGTATGCTGTGAACTTAATCCATTTGCGTATATAAAGTAATTTGAGCACAGTAAAACACAATAAATGAAGAGAACTCAAACCAACTAAGTACTGTAAAACCCAATAAGTTAAGGCAACTCAAACCGCTTGAGGAAACTACAAACCATTTCTATATGAGTACTGTGAACTTCATTTAAGTTGAAGTAAAGAGGTAT